GTGGTGTAGCAGGCAAGGCTGCTATTCGAGATTTCAGGGTTCCCTAAAAGTATTTATCCATGTCCTGGCTATTCCACTCCCAATCCAAATCTCTGTTGATGGTTTTGGAAAAGCAGCAGAAGATGGGCCATGTGTTTGGGGTCTTCTACCCATGCAGGTAACCCGGGAAAATCTGCTGACTCTAGAATTCAGCCACATCCAGCCCTGGCAGTTGCAGTCATTAGATGGGTGGATGGAAGATCTCTTTCTTTGTCTCTCAGTCTTTCTATAACTTTGATATTCAAGTAAATAAATGAAATGTTTAAAACAAAAACAGATCTTTCTGTTAGACCCTGTGAAGAAAAGAACCATAAAAATCACAGAAGTTAAAGACCAATGCCATGAGTTTTAGGCTTCTTCTTGCTTTGCCAGCAGCCTACATAGACACCAGTTCAAGTCCTAGCTGCTCCGCCTCTGAAACAGCTTCCTATTAAAGTGCCTGGAAGAGCAACAGCAAAAGATGGCCCAAGTGCTTGGGCCCCTGCATTCACATGGGAGACCTAGAAAAAGCTCCGGGCTCCTGGCTTCGGACTGGCCCATCTGACAGTCATGGCAGTCATTCTGGGAGTAAACTGACAGGTAGAAGATTCCTCTCCCTTTGTCTCTCACTCTGTGTATGTAATATGCCTTTCAAATGAAATAAATTAATTAATTTAAAAAAAAAGAAATTGCAGAAACTAAGAACAAAGCTGGAAAGGGAGAAATTCAAAGCTAAATTCTGTCTGGCACTCTTTGATCTTTCCTTTGCGAAATTTCAGGTCAAACAAGGAACATTTTACAAAGCTTTTAGCCGTTGCAAATAAGCATCCTATAGATATTGTCTACTAAAATGTAATGCATAAGATTATTATTCTTAACTTTTTAAGCAGTTAAATTGGTGCCTATCATTAATCAAGGTTTATTTTAATTATTTGAAAACAGAAAGACTAAAGAAAGACTCTACCGTCCTTTTGTCCACTGTCCAAAATGGCTATAAAATCCATAGTTGGGCGACGCACAAGTTTGGGCTTTAGAATTTCATCTGGATTGCCCATAGAATTCAAGGGCCATCTTGAGCTGCACTCCCAGGCACATCAGTAGAAAGTTGGATGAGAAGTGGAGCAGCTAGGACTCAAACTGCTGCTTCAATACTGACTGTCAGTATCCTAGGCAGCCCTTTAATCTGCTACTACAACACAGGTTCCACAGTTCATGCCTGGGTTTTAAAGTGATCAGGAAAGAGTTCTTTTGGTAGATATTTGCCCATGAATATTCTTCTTAGTCTTAATGTGAATTGTTAAAATATTTCTATATCATGGAAAAATAATTGGAGTACTAAGAATCTGAAGGTCAGAGCAGATACTAGGTCAGAGGATAAAATCAGCACTGACATAAAAACTCCTTCACTGAGTGCTTTTTCTATAACAATTCTACTTCAATTTCTTAAAAGACTAATATTTTTAGATTAAATTGTATGCTTATGTGGCCATTATTTTCTTTGATTATCAATTTATTTTACAAAGCTTCAATACATTTTGCAGCACCTTTTGTGATATGAGAATGAATCCAACATATCCGAAGATTACAATATTTTCTCACTAAATACTAAATAACAATTAAAAGTAAACAAGGCAGGCCAGTGCTGTGGCACAGCAAGTAAAGCCAAGAGCAACCCATATGGGTGCTGACTGAAGTTACAACAAAACTTCTTCCATCTCTGCCAAGCCTGAAAACTAAGGAAAATGCTCAAAGTCCCTTACATTTTGTATAAGTCCACCAAGTAATCTTTCATTCCTGGGATTCATGAACTAGCTGATTTAAAACATAAATAAAGACAAATTTTGCATGCCAAACAAAATCTCCAATCAAAGCACAAGTATGAAAAATTTCATGTTTAACAAGTAACTTCAGTTAAATTTAGGAGACCTCTCTAGCTATAAGTCTTACTGGATTCCCTTTCTCAGTTTTTAATTTTGATGTATTTGATTCTGTATTTAAGGTGTGCAACATAATGTTATGAGATATATGTGGATAGCTAAAAGATGAGTATTTTGTTCCCTTTCATTCATAAGCCACAAGGCAGCTGCAATCATAAATGGCAATCTCCTCTAACTTAATCCAACTGCATTTAACACTGGCAACCAGGATAAAAGCCCCTACACACTACTTTGTTGTTGCCTAGGATGTCCTTGTGTTCTTTATTCCACCCAAGCAAGTGTTTGGAATGTATAATCCACATTTCATTACCGAAGTACTATTAAATCAAGTGCTCAAAGGATGTCTAGTGCTGTGAAGAGAGAACAAAGTAGAAATAACACGGAAAACCCTAGGATTAAGAAAGAAATAGTTCAAGATACACATACAGGTTGCATCAACAAAAGAACAAACTGTGATGTCAAGAAATAGAAAGAACAAGTCAAATTCACAAATTCGTATGATTTTCAAGATGATGAAATTAATTACATTATTTTCAGGGGTGAATATAAAATAGTCTCCCTTAAGATTATTTTTTTCCTATTACATCTACCTTCAACACAAGCTACTGCTGCTTTAAATACTCATTGTGTGAGGAGTGAAGATCGGGCTTTTTTTAAAGTTCATTTTGACTCCAACAGTTTGTTTTAGGAATGAACTACACATAAACACACAGAAATCAAATTCTATTGAACTGACAGATTTCTTATTGTGATTGTTTTGTGCCATCTAATACAGTAATTTCTGATGATTCTTCTTTGTAGCACACAGTGTTTTCCTATATTTAATCCCAAAGGAAGAAAAAAGATCTAATTTCTAAGGTTTCTTTCATTTAGTTTTCTCTTAATTAACTTTTGGAAGTTGGAATCCTATTATCTTCCTTATGACGCTATACACATATTTATAACATGCTATATAATTACATATATAATTAAATAGTGTTATTTCATATCATGCTATTCCATATTAAAGTATATTTGCATGTCATTATATTTAATATCTTATAATCATCATATGTAACAAATGTGCACATAATTATAAATAATATAAAATACATAATAATGCATAATATGTTATTTATAAAATACAATTATGAGTCAAAACTATTATATTTTAATATTTAGTTTTTATTTATACATATCTGTAATTATTACATATTATATATTACACATTTAAATGTACATATGTATTACACATTTAAATGTACATACATTATTTATATGAAACATCTAAGAAATATTTTAACACTAATATTGATGTGCATTTTAATTTTAATGTTAAATAAAATAATGTGTTCTCACCTATATGGATCTTTCACAAAACTGTAGAAAATCGAATGTAGTTAGAATGCCTACATTCATCAATCAGTTTGCGCATCTGACCATCTAAACAGAATTCCCAATAAAATTTATACATAGGAAGCCAGACTTCCATATGGAAACCTTACAGCTGAATGGATTCTGGAGCTGAGCTGGAAATGGTAGGAACAAACTCTATTTTGATGTCAGTGTTGACTGTAAACATACACACGGCAGAACGGCTGTTACTTAAAAATCCTCATGCTAACCAGGTAAGAGACTTTAAAATATAAATTGAAACATATTTCACTAACTAATGTGATAGACAGTCAGCCTCCCTGTCACAATTACTGGCAGATAGACACACCTTTTCATGTCTGTATTCATCCGGCTACTTTGACTCTCTCCGGAGGGCTTTTGAAGTTAGATTTGACATCTCCTAGATTTATGCTTTCCCTGAATGTAAAGAGGTTTTCCTTTCTCACAGCTTTAGCCTTATGTGGAGTTCAAGTCTAACGTAGATTAAAGAGAAGCAGTCAATGCCTTAGAAATTTAATGTTTGTTCTTGATCTTTTTTTTTTCTTTTTTGTTTTTATGAGGTTGAACTAAAAACCCCAAAGTGGGACATAATGGCTTTAGAGACAGGAAGGAAATATTCTTCATTCTCTTTTTTTTTTTCTATCCTAAAAAGCCCACAAGGCTTTTTCTGGAGAAAGCCTAGAGTAGCAAGCACTCTCTCAAAAGCCACCTTTTTCTTCTTAATAGCTGTAGAAGAGACAGTGTTCAGGAAAGTTGACAGCATAAAGTGTTGCTGATGTTAGACCCAGGAACAAGTAAAGTGGTTTATGGCCCAAATCCCTGTTTATCACATATACCTGTCAAAATTGGAAATTTTTTTCTACCAATCAAATCATTTGTAAAGGGCCCTTGCCTCTCAAATTCCACAATGAGCAGCACCCACTCCAAATGAAAATATAATAGACAGTGCACAGATGAGACACAGTGAGAAGCAATCAGCATGACATCAGGGAAAGAGATTATGAGGATGAAAAACATCTGGATTAAGGATACAAGGGAAGTGACATATTACTTTAAGCCATGATTCTGACTTTCAAAAAGCTCAAGGCATGGAACATGTCCACTCTGGCTCATGCACCAGCAAATAACAAATCTTGATTAAAACTTGCAAAGAAAACACGTAGTTGATTCATTCAACTGGTATGTTTTGAGTGGCTCTTATGTCACAAGAGCTAAGCGCATAGAAGAAAGACAGATAATTCCTTACTGTACAGATGGGAGGAGTGTTTCCAAATTCATTTTACAATATGTACAGAGAGTGAGTCTTGAAAATGCATGATATGAAGTTATGGAAGATTTATAGTTCTCCAGACACAAAGTTTGCATGGAAACAGTTACCATTTAGTTAGAACATTAGAACTGCACTATGTTTAAAGACTCAGAAACTAAAGAATATTCTCCTCCTGTTTTTGACCAACATAGAATTCTACAATTCTGAAAATCTTGTTTAGCTTCTTGAACTAACATAGTTCGCATAGGCAAAGCAATGAATCCTTTAAATAAGTCTGAAATAAAACATTTAGAACAATGGGTCAAGTCTGTGTTTAAGGTAGATTAACCAATAATACATTTTCCAGTGTCACTATTACATTTCATCTGGTAAGACATTTGCAGTAAGCTCCCAGCGCCTACCTTGAACTGTCAGAGTGGCAGATGCTTCTGCTTTTCCCACCATATTTTCTGCAACACAGGTATATGATCCCATGTCACCAGCCATCACCTTCCGAATTTTCAAGGTATGATCATCTCGAATTTCATATCTAAGAGCATAATAAGGGAAAGCACAGGCAAATAGTTTTCAACCTGAAAAAATCCACTAGTATGTATACAACAGTCTGGGTGTCACATCACTTCACGTGTAACAATCTTGTCACATTTCTCTAAGTCAGCAGGCAGAAGAGTTTATTTTTATGCTCATTGGGGCTAATATATTCAACTTTTTTTTTTTGCAATGACATTTTTAATATAAGGAGGACATTCACTTTTTTTTTTTTGCTTAAGCTATACTGTATAATTAAAAGTGAGTACTGAAAGTTTAACTCAGTAGTTAAGAAGATACTCAGGATGCCAATAATCCATACTGGAGAGGCTGGATTTAAATTCTAAATCTATTCTCCACTTATCTGTGCCCTGGAAGGCAGCAGGATGACTCAATTATTTTTGTTGCAGATACTTCTGTGATAGACCTTAATTACATTCTACACTCCTAAACTCCAGCCTGACCTAGCTTTAGCTGTTGCAGACATTTAAGGAGTGAAATGGGAGTTTTTGTTTCAAAATAAATGTGATATATGGCAGTGACCATCTACTGGTTTACTCCCTAAATGCCTCAAGGACTGAAGCAGAGCCTGGATTGAAGCAATAAGCTGAGAGTTTAATCCAGGGCTTACTATACATGGCAGGGATCCAACTACTGGAATTATCACTGCTATTTCCAAAATCTAAGTTGCTGAAAGTTGAAATCAGGAGCTGAAGGGGAAAATTGAACTCAGAAGCTCTGGTATGTGTTGTAGATATCTTAACTTGTACCTGAAGTGCTAATATCATTGCTCACCATGAAATTGGAATTTTGATCTTTCGCCTGACTAGAGATGTGTAGCATGAGACTCTCTTGAGATAATGGGTGGCAACAATGAACCACATCTATGAGTCAGTCACATAATTGTCAGTAGCAGAAACTGCTAGTGCAGAATGTGTTCTATTGCCAAGCTATCAGGTTCTGTTAATTGCATGTCAATTTACAATACTTCCTGTTTTCAATGGGTTTATCAGGAAGCGTCTCCATTGTAACTTGAGGTTCCTCTGTAAGTTCTTGTACTCAGAGCCAGGAGTAAATGCAAAATGCCCAACTCTCACAGTATCTATGGAATTTATATTGCTTTAGTATTGATGTAAAGTCAAACAATCCAAAATCAAACCATCACAAGCCCAAGACGGTTGACAGAGTAGACAATTCCAATGGCTAGAAATCCAGAGCAGATGAGTCACATCATTAAGTCCTGACCAGTACCTGGATTTGGGCAGCTCTCCATCATCTTTCCTCCACCGTACTGTAGGCACAGGGTCTCCTCGGGCCTCACATTTAAATTCTGCACTGTCATCCACAGTAACGGCTAAGTTACTAGGCCTCTTCACAAATGATGGTCTCTCTAAAAGTAGAAAAACTCATCTCAGGATAAAACAAAAAATGAATCCCCGCCCAAAGAAAAAAACCACTTTAGGTGTTCAGTAAAAACAACTTACAACTTGAAATACTACAAAATGAAGCATTTCATACAGTTAACCACTTGCAGAAAATTCTCTATAGATTTAGGATTTTTTTTTTAAAAAAAAGATTCATATTATTTTTTTATTAGGAAGTCAGATATACAGAAGGAGAAAAACAAGGAGGAAGATCTGCCACCTGATGATTCACTCCCCAAGCAGCCACAATGGCCAGAGTTGCGCAGATCTGAAGCCAGGAGCCAGGAGCCTCTTCCCAGTCTCCCATGTAGGTACAGCGTCCCAAGGCTTTTGGCGGTCCTTGACTTCTTTCCCAGGCCACAAGCAGGGAACTGGGTGGGAAGCTGTGCTGCTGGGATTAGAACCGCCACCCATATGGGATCCTGGGGCATTCAAGGCGAGGACTTTAGTCACTAGGCTACCATGCTGGGTCCAGATTTAGGACTTCTATTAGTTCTCCCACATCTTTGTTTTATCTCTGACTTCTTTACTAAATCCACTCTGTTTCCCATCCCCAATTACATGAATTTACTAATAGTATTTCTCCATTGCATAAAGCCATTTTTACTTCCTTGAAAGTTAATTTCTTTCTCCATAAACTATTAATACAAAATAGTACTAAGTAATCTGCTTTAAAGTAAGCCAACTGGATAACTCAGCACTTACCTAAAACAGTTAGCTCTGCTACTTCACTTTCACGTTCACCAACCATGTTGGTCCCGACACAAATGTATTTGCCAGCGTCACTCTTACGGGTGTAAGTAATCATGAGCTTTCCTCCTCGTATCTTAAAAAAAGAAAAGAAAATTTGATATTGATATTAGTAAAATTACTCAGGCTATGCTTCCATGATGGAGGTCTACATAAATTAATTCTACTTCCGAAGCATATAAATCAATGAATAACTATATAAAACAGGTGAGGTGTACTACTTGCTATATTGTTAGGCCATATATTCATAAACAATGATTTCCAAACATATACTTTAAAAGAAGAAAATACTTTTCTTACATGCCTGTTTTATAACGGTTTTATATTCTGAATAAATTTGTATTTTAAAGTAGCCAAGTTCTTTCACATCATTTGATTAAAGGAAAACCACAAAAAATTGCATGAATAATTTGTATAGCACATGGAAAAACACATAAATTCTCAAAACCACAAAGATATAATTACTATTCAAATATATCAACCATAAATGATTTTAAGGATCACATTCTAGCATTAAGATATAGAAATACATTTTTTAAGTTACTAAATTTATTGATGTCTTGAAAGGAATATGTCCTCAGTACAAAAACAGTAAAATCTGCCGGTTACGAAAAAAAACAGATGTTACTGCCTTCCAAGAAATTCTGTGGCTGCTTAGGATGCAAAGATGGAACAGCCTCCAGTGTGTCATCTGGAAAGCCACATTTGGGTACACACTTAAACATGAAATTCACTAAATAAAATTAATGAAAATTGCATGAAAACATCCAGAAAAGAAGTAGAGCAACATCAAACATGAATTAAGATCAGGATTCAGACAAGTGACAACCTCTTTTTAATTAACCATGTTATTAATGTAGTAATAATGATTACTTACAAGTAAATACGTATAATATTTTGAACCTTAGAATGACTACAGATTTTTGGAAATTTTTGTGCCACTGGAAGTTAATTTTTTCAATAGTTTTTTAAATTAGCAAACCAAAATTTCTTCTGCCTTGATCATTCTCCCAGCCCTAGTTATCTAGAATCATGCCTACAGCTAAAAGTCACAGGAAGGATTTTCGTTGAATAAAAACATCAACTACTGACAAAAATCTTGTTTGTTATCCAATTTGACGTACATTCTAAATTTTATAATGGTTACAAAGATACATCAATAACAACGTTATTATTTCACACATTCCCATATATAATACAAAGATGAAAGTAAATATCAACAAAAAACTTGCAGAAACTCATTGACTTGTGAGTCTATTTTTATTTCCCACACAGAAGTGTGTGTGTGTATGTGTGTTCACACACTTTTACACAAGTAGCTATATGCATATACAGAGATATATAACTATAGGTACTTACAGTTTCACTAAACTAGATTCACACAGTATATGCTCTTGTGTAATCTACATGTTTAAATAACAGGAGGGCAGGGGTAAAATGTCCATACACTCAAGTCTTCTACTCCATCAATAAGACAGATTCATTATATAATGCAATGTCTCATCACATACTCACTGCCAATAATGGTTAAGGATCCCAAAGCGGATGCTACAGGTTAAAGGGAGGACAAAACAAAGCATCACTGAGCTTGGGAGAAACTTGTTTCTTCAAAGATGACACAGACAGAAACAAATACGAGTGTAGGAACAAACAACAAAACAGGAGAAACATAAAAGAAAAATGGTGGAAGGGAAATTACAGCGTTCAAATTTCCATAAATTCAAATGGATTTTAGAACTATGTTAAAGGATGCACTGAAATGGAGCTAAAAGCCATAAATCTATCCTTTAAGGTCACCCACACACGGAAGAAAAGTTCCATTTTTTTTCAGCAAACTAAAGAATTAAAAAAAAAAACAAAGAAAAGCTTACACCATATTTCTGATCAAATATAACATACTAACTTTCAAGCTGTATCTATTATTAACGATCATCATTCATGTTGATTTATAAAAATATTTGTTGTAAATTTGGGGTAACTTTCTGTACTCTAAAGCATGGTGCCCCCTTTGTCAACTAAGAAAAATGACATTTCCTCTTTCTATATAAAAAGATTGTGAAGAAACATCTCTAACACACAAAACACCATAAATGTGAAAATAGCACTATTTAAAACAAGCTAAGAAATATTTCTTGGCAGGTCTCTTCCTGCAGCTGGACTTGACAGCCAAATTGTAAACCTATCAAAAACTAGTTTGTATAATGAACAGACACAATGTTAAACACTGAACTGCAGAACACTATTTCAATTAACATAATCCGGGCAGTGGAGAAGCAGAATGTGTTAAACTTGCAGACAATACGCTGGCATCCAGCCTATGTCAGAAATTCAAGGCAGAGGTCTCACTTCCTCATTACCATCCACCTAACCAGCCCACAGGGGTAACCACATTAGAGGCCCACATTTCCATATGCTCTAGACAGTTCTTGAAGGGGGGCCTCCGCCATATACATACTTGATGAAAGCAAAACAAAACAAAAAGTTCCCACTGGTCTTGCTCCTTTCTGGAAGGAGACAGAGCGGGAGAGATGAGAGGAAGGTGGTATAGAATTTAAGCTCTCAAATGTCTTTAAACTTTGTATATTTCTTAGTAACTGATCCAAGCCTTTAAAAAAAGTTTTACAAGCATTAACATATGAAAATCCTCGATATATTGCGTATACTTTATTTTTGCATACCAGGAATTCTCCCCATAAAAAATTAGAAACGGTCTTACTTTGCAGTAAAAATCTTTTCTCCTACAACTTTTAAAAAAAAAAGGATTTTTCGGAAGCAATAGAAAATGCCTCCATCTCATTTACTGCATTGTTTAATGAAAAATAATAGGGGGAAAGTCAAATAGTTTTATTTTTTTCTCAAAAATGAAGAGAGCCATTGAATACATCTTGTAGGCAGGAAAAAAAAACATCTACCATTAGTATTTTTATTTTTGATCACAAGATAATTTTTTTCTTATTAACTTTGGAGAGAAAGAATCATATTTCTTTTTTTAAAAAAGGGATAAAATTATTATCCTTTGGTCTAGTTATTCTATGGTGTATACAGCTAACCCTGCAATCAGTACTCACAATCAGAGATACAGATGAACTCAAAATGAACTTCTTGGTATGTCTTCATTTTCTACCCTAAAGCAAGTCTGATGATTTGCAGTATCTGTTACACAGGAATTTTTTTTTTTCAAGTATCACTCCACTATGTTATCCATACACCTCTAGGTTAACATGATAAACTGACTGGGGCTAATTAACTAGTTTGGCTACACAAAACCTTTTCTGCTTTTAATTACATTAACCTAATGTGACTTGAATTCAATAGACCAAAAAAGAAACCCCTAATTATATTAAGGGCTTCAAAGATGATCTCACATTGCTAACCACCAAACTGTCATATAATTTATCTCACTTCCTTTAATAGATTTCACATTAAAAAAACCTGAATTCTTTACTAGAAATATGATTTTTAATAACCTCTAAAACAATGACCTGATGGCATACTGGTTTAGAGCATTGAGAAAAAGAAATTTATATCAAATAATGCAGACAGGATTCATATAGGTTCATCAGACCAACGAGAAAGTTATATAGTTCTTAATTTTTACAGTTTTCAAAAAGCTTAAGGCTTGGGTTCTTCAATTTACACTGGTGGGGCTTGAGAAACAGAATTAACACAATGAGCAAAGTTTCTTCAAGTATCTTGATTTAGAAACTATTTTTTTTTCAGAAAAAAAACGTGATTTTTTTTAAGCCACTGAATAATTTGCAAATTATTTTGCAAAGGAAGAGAGATGAGAGGGTTTGAATTATAGTAAAGTGCATTAGAGTTAAACAATCCACCACTAAATCTCCCGGGACACACTATCTCTTCATAGTAATGCTGTCAAGTTGCCCTGGACCTATGACACCAGGAACAGACAGCAAGCTGCTATGCACTGAAGCAGGGCTGGCTGGGGTCCCCAGTGACAATGAGATGCAGGTAGCCCAGATGGTCAGTCGTAGTCCCCCAGACATTCTTCTTGGTGAAGGAAACTGCAGATTGAACATCCCTTTCAATGGAAACACACCAAGAAAGGTCACAACAGTAAGAGCTTTTATTTCCTTAAAATTTAGCATTAACTTGCAAAATAAAAATTTATCATTAACTTCAGCTAAGGAAAAAGAATACCTATCCTGAGCAAGCAGCAGAGGGATGCGCTGGAATTATAACATTACTGCCCAGACTAGCTACAGGAGCAGCAATTCTTAATATCAAGCCAAATCAGAATCAGGCAGCCACACTGGGCAACACACATTGCTGTGTCTTTCAAAAACAATCAGGGGCGACTGCATTTTCATGCAAAACCATTGCTCACTTTATACTAATGAATGAGACTCACAATTCAAAAAGTCTCAAAGCAACATAAAAAATTCATAGGTAAAAATAAATCTTAGACTTCAAATCTCTTATAATATCAAAAATATATATCTTATTGATAACATTTCTTACTCATATACCCAGGCAAGTCATACAATAAGAACAGTTACAAAAGGAAAGCCATGACCAGCGGTAAATGATGTAATTTATCAGTTACTGTAAAACTTCTATATGTAGGTGTTCTAAATTTCTGAATGATATACATTAGTAATAGTGATACCGCATTTCTTTTCTGGATTGGACTGAAGCTTTTTGTTTGTTTTAACTTGAAAGGCAGAGTAACTTGCAGAAAGAGTGACAGAATACTTAAGTGCCAGGGTTCACACCTATAATGACTGCAATGGCTGGGGCTGGACTGAAGGCAGCAGTTTTCTTTCCTGGGTGCACGCTTGGGCTGTTCTCCACAGTTTCTCAGGCATGTTAGCAGTGAGCTGAATACGAAGCTCAGCAGCAGAGAACCCAAGATGGCACTGTATACCAGATGTCTGCATTACAGACTGTGGTTTAAGCTGCTACACCACAATGCTGATTCTGGGAACTTAAATTTAACCATTGTTACTAGATAAAAATTTAAATGATTGATAAATTTTCCCCATTATAAACATTTAAAACTATTTGTATCTACAGCTCTTAGCAACATCAGTAAAACTTAAGTATATGAATAAG